TATCACTCCAAGCAAAGAAAAAATTTCTGAGCTATTTACGCTCATGCTCACAGCTTTTTGAACCTCTCAAGCCTCACCGATTACTTTATCAACAACATTCCTCCAGTTCCGATAACAGTTGTTCATTGTAGGCGACCTGCTACCAGCGGATGGGATCCTGCTTCAAAGTAACGATCTGAAGATCGACGAGTCGTCCTTGACCGGCGAATCAGACCTCATTTCGAAAAATGTGGACTCCGATCCCGTTCTCCTTTCAGGTATGTGCGCCTCTATATCCAGCCAACGATTGAAAGTAGTTACAGTGAATGATTCCAAGAAATTCTACCCATATTTGTTCGGAAACCAGAAGATTTACAACACTTGCGGAATATATTCATCTCTAATAATACTCCCATGTCAGCAGTCCATTGTAGCTGGTCAAACATTACCGAAGTTTATCTTGAGAAATCTTTCAAATAATGTGCTGATCATTCGGAGAGCATAACTCTGGCAGCCAGCAGTACAGTTTTTTGTGAAGGAATTCCTGGCTAAAGCTTAGAGTCAGAAAAAATATTTCAGGAACATACGCAATGGAAGGAAGTGGTCGCATGCTGGTTACTGCAGTTGGTGTTAATTCCCAAACCGGTATCATCATGACACTGCTCGGCTCCGGTAAGAATGTGGACGTCGATGGTGATTCGTCCTCTAAAAGTAATTGCTTCAGTTAAATTTCCTCCAATTCGTTATGTGTTTATTGGACAATTCGGTATGGGTACATTATTTTGATACTGAATCAACTGTCTTTATCATCATGTCATGATGGAACTTTCCTCGCGAATTAAGAGCGACCTCGTCAACAAGACTGAATCGTATTTTTCGATGAAGCGGAAGTGAACTCATTTCACAGCTGCACGGTATCGGAGCCTACCCATTTTGCTCGGTTTTGGCTGATAATGAGGCGTGCATGCTTCAGTTTTAAAAAATCGCTAATCCGTATATTTGGCTGACATACCTGGGGCAATATGTTCCCTTATCTACTTACGAGTTTTTACATGTGCCATGTGGCTGCCTGTTACGGCTCGTTGACCTTAATGTTTAGTTTTCATTGTAATCGGTCGGATTCAGAATAATTCCGTGGAAATTATTCGTTCAGGATCACGTTCTTCATCAACATCGTCCTCCTCGTCGGGCAATTCGGCGTCATCGCATTCTTCATCTGTTTCGCATTCCTCAAGCAGCGATCGCTCGTCTTCAGACAGTGATAATGACGACCTCACATCGAAGTCGATTCTACAAACTAAACTCTCCAAATTGGCACTTCACATCATATATTGCGGTGTTTCCATGTCATTCCTTCAAAAACAGCCATTATAATTTAAAAAATCCTTTCACATGGACTCACTCGTGTCCTTGCGATTAGCTGAAAATGTTTTTCTGTTCGGGAAAGTGTTGAAAGCTAACAGTCTCTCGATAGAATCTTTCCTTGTGAGACGATTGACTGCATGAACGATACGCCTCAGATGTAGAGGAGGGCAAAACCGACCTTAGTCACACAATAAGATTAGATAAAAAAGTGGGATCAATGCGGAAGATGAGCATGTGAACAAGTGATAATCTGGTCTATTTGAAGGAACGACCGTTGCAATTATCGCACTAATAGTGCTAGTGACAAGATTCTGCTTCAAA